GAACTCACAAAGTACGTCGTAATTACACCTAGTCATCATAACCAGCTTTCTCCATGACATGATCTTAGCTACACACTTGCCAGAGCGAATAACTTATCAACACGGCACGGAAGGTTATGATTCCACTACCAGAATTACTTTTTTGGAACTTTTCCATAATTCACATCTATATCATCCCTCACATCATCCACATTCTGCGTCCTCGTTCCACCCAGCGCAACACGCATGAGTGCAACCATTCCAATATTTTGACATAAAACAATGGACCAGTTTTGTAGTACTCTACTTGATGCATCTTATCAGCCTATGAGTTGAAGGCTTCCATCGCTCTCACCATCAGGGTCGCCCCACTTCCTCACATACAGATATGAGTGTGAACACTCTATTGTCAACGCAAAAGGGTAACGGTGTCGCTGGCCTCTGTTTTCCGATGCTCATTACAACTATAAGCAGTAGCTGCCACTGTCCGTCACCCACCATCAATGTCTCCTTCCTGTCCTCCCCATAATTCACAAAGTAGAACGTGCATATGTCACTGCGGCATGCACAATAAGCAGAGAGTAACATTTCTCAAAAAAATCAAGAAAAAAATTGTTAGCCATGCAAGTTGAAAAATTCTTTGCTGCATTCATGTTTGAGTTCATGGCCATCACATTCCATGCTATGAAGCTTTTTCACAATTTTGAACGTCAGTTCTTGAGTTTGTGAAAGCATCATTACGCAGAGCAGTGCATTAGCAAATATAGTGGCCTTGTTTACGAGCCGTAGCTTCGAAGCACATTCAACGATTTCTTACGCATGAATACTGCTCTCTGTGAATAGAGGCACAAGGGAGCTGTAGATAGCGCGTAAACAGAGAGAATGAAATTTGCTAGAAATTGAAAACGAGCCGGGTGAAGCGGGTGTCGGTTTTTCGTTGGCGATAGACGAATCGAGAGAAAGGCAAGGAGATAATGAGTGAACAGTGAGTTAACGAGACATAGATACCATTTGAACAGCGGGTTGCCGCTTTCACAAACCCTATGATCCTGCGACATTGTAGAAGAGATTAATCCTGCGAAGTTGTAGAAGAGATTCTTTCAAATAACTAATCAAAAATGTGCATCGAAGCTAAATGCTCTTACGTCAGGTCTACTACATCATACTGAGGAATTTTTCAATTCTAAATGCACGCATCAACTTTAAGGAGCAACTCGAGTTGTAAGGCACCTGATGACTTCTTTATGGGAAAAATTCTCAGGTTGTTTGTTCAATCGATAACAGGATTCCTCCTTCTTTGTTGAACAAATTTCAAATGCTTTAAAACGTCAAATGTTAGTCGTTGTACACAATATCAGGTGGTTGCAGAAGTTTTTGACCACTTTCCATTTCTTTACCAAGTTCATTTTCCTTCATTAGCACAGTCAAAAAATATTGTTTGCGCCGTCATTATCGGCGAAATATTGGCCTCGATAATGTACTGTAAATGCGTCAAAAATAGTTCGGAAGCAACTAGCAGATAGATATCTACAGGTAGAAGTCTGCTGAATACACCAAATGGGAGGGAACGTGATGAAATTGGAAGCTTCTGAAAGACCTTCATAATGATGCAGTGACGAGCGTGATTGGTGTAGAGCGGACTTGATCATGTTTTCCACGGTGCTGTCAGCCGCGAAGTTAGGCAATGCAGCGTATTGTAGTGCAGAATCTCTCACACATGCCCACTATTACAGGATCTCTGCCTCTACAGACAAAAAATCCATACGTTTATGATGAGCATTTACGCCACATCTTTCCGCCAATATTTCACTTCTTTCCGAAGCGATACAGTGACGGCGAAGGTAACATGATGACACGGAAAAGGCTCTGCCGTTCTCATGTATTACACCAGAAACTCTTGGAACCTTTGAATGCCCTCGTCATTAGTTGAACAGGCTGACCACACTTGTGTTTTATCTCAATTTTACCAAAAAGGGGCAGCCAAATTTTGAGCATGTCGTGGAGAGCCGTGCAAAGCCTCACCGTTACCTACGCTTCATGGCTCATCGTTTGAATTGAAGACTCATAACGAGCCAGAGCAAAAAACTAAGTCATTGTTGCAGTTCTTACGCCAATGTCACTTATTCGAAAAATTCAATATTCAATATTCTAGGTCCTGCTGTTGCTGGTCCAGGCAGCAATCCAGGCGGTTTTGGAGCAAATCAACCATTTGGTGGACAAGGCCCTCAGCCATTCGGTGGACAAGGCCCACAGCCATTCGGTGAACAAGGCCCTCAACAGTTTGGTGGACCAGGTCCTCAACAATTCGGAGGCCCTCAGCCATTCGGTGGACAAGGCCCTCAGCCATTCGGTGGGCAAGGCCCTCAACAGTTTGGTGGACCAGGCCAACAACAATTTGGTTTTCCTGAAGGCGGTCGTCGTGAGGGCGAATTCCGCCCTCCAGAACGTTTCGGTGGTCAAGGTGGTTTTGAAGAGCCACACGGCATGCCGGTTAGAATAAGAAGAGATCCGCAAGGTGACGTGTCATTCTCATCCTCACTATCAACTCTAATTTGGAATTCGTTTTAGAAGAACACTAGGGTAAAGGAATGAAAATTTTGGCGTGATCAATTCCTTCTGGGATGCGCCACGCACCCCTACTTCCATTTCATGGTGTCATACGAGCGATGCATGGCCTATAAAATGACTAGGAGACAGCTGGTTGGTTTAGGCGAACTCCGGTCATAGATTTGACTCTGGTTCGTGTGCGTGGGCAGTGGCCTCACCTGCCGCCATCTACATACCACAAGTCTCACAAGAATATTATTCCATGAATATGACCTTATAATTAACCACAGTGTGTAAGAAATTTATCCCATTTCGAAACAGAATCACACTATTTGCCCTCTTTTGAAAGTACCTTACGAAAAGGTGCATATATCACACAATTAGAACCTTCTAATCAAATGCTATGGCCCAACATTCCGCGGAAGCTCTCTATCACAACAGCACGCTTACTTGGCGATAAGGGGCGATGCGACCAAAATTCTAGAATACAGCTCACAAAAAAGGATCTTGCGGTGGCCATCGCATGAGTGCTGTACATGCCTAGATGTGCTGATCACAACTCCTCGTACGAAACCTGCTGAGCGATTCAAAGAATGGAGTTATGAAGCAAAGGAGAACAATGTTAGTGGTCGAGACTCACATTTCAGACGTCATAGGACTGGATCCTTTTCGTGCATTGTTTTTTCGGTAACACAGCTAAACAG